GGGGGGGGGGGGGGGGGGGGGGGGGGGGGGGGGGCCTGGATGAGGCAGAAAAGAAGCAAAACCAAGTATAGGCTTCCCCCATATTCTGAAATGAATTAATGGGTATTGGTACTTTTAAGAGAATATGATTTGTGAGTGAAGCATTTCCACCACATACACACCCAATTCTTCCTTATTATTATGTTCAAATAACCAAACATCCACACATGTGCAAACACAAATCACCACACTAATTCAACGCACACCGTCTCATGTTTAGCTATCATACCATTTGTAACAGCAAAACTCTATGGTTAGTAGTTATTATCTGCTTTTACCTGTTACGTATCGTCACCAGTCTCATGATTTTAAAACGTGTCTGCTAGGAAGAGATTTCCACACTCTTATAAATAATGCTTCATTCTCCTCCCCACCGACATGGGATCTCACAAAAAGTTTTCAAAATAATTTTTCTTATCTCCTCGTATATTGCTCTGGGCCCAACCTCTTCTCCTAGAAATCAAAAGCTTCTTTGGGAGATGAAACTGACGTGACAAACAAAAGCTACAAATTACTCACTACCCATACAAAGATCGTTGTCACTTTCATGATTTTTAAAATGCGTTTACAAGAGAAATGGTCTAACCCTACTCTGACTAGTGTCTTGCATCATCTCAGCTTTGATACCGAGAGGAATAACACAAGCCCACCATTAGCAGATATTGTTCATTCTATCCGTTACGTAGCATCGTCAGCCTCATGATTTAGAGTTTAATCCACCTTTACAATGAGTATTTCGTTCCATTCTCGAACCGACCAAGAATGGTGTATGGATGTGGTAAAAAGGTAGCAGTTCGTAAATTGTCTTCTTCGGAAAATGTTGGGCCTGTGAACTGACTCATCTTCTTTCCTTTCCTTTTATTTTCCCAAAGTGTACGTTTTTTATTTTATTTTCTAATTGAATTATTTAATGGAGCTATAAAACCTAAACTCATTAACTATTTAATGGCTGCCCTTCTATATCTGTGTATGTACACATTGGAGTAAATAGGCAATACTTGTAAGATTTTCTTCTCGTCCTTTCCATAAATTTCTGCACATCTATAAAGTTGCTATCCATTTTTAACCTCTATAATATACATATATATATATACACACACACATGCACATGTCAATGTCGATATAATTAAATTACATTCGAAGTGAATAGAAAGATCAAACGCTAGAGTTTCAAGATGATATTAATCTATGATTACAATAGAATTCTTAACTAGTTGAGCTATGCTTAAATTGACATTCATAATAAAAAAAAAAAAATTAACTAGTCGAGAGAAGAAATTGAAATACTATAAAACAAACACATCACAGAGGTGGAGATGACTGACCACTCATCTATGTTGAGGCGTAAATTCCCATTGTTTCCATTATGATATGTTTTACGAACACTTTCTCTTTATGTACTTTAACAATACGTAGGAGTGGAGATTCAAATATTTAAGCTCGAGTTAGATTGATGAATATCTAGACTTTTACAGTAAGAGTTCGATATTGTAAGCTTTAGTTCATTAGGTAGGTCGGGTGAAAACGTAAGCCGTAGGAGGTGAGAGGAGAGAGAGAGGCCCCCACTGAATGTCAGATTGAGATAAGTGGGGTTTTATGCTTTGTACGTTGGTCCCATATTTAGTGGCAAAAACCCTCAAATCATGTGTTTCTTCTTCTTTTCCAATTATATACATTTCAGTCATCCCCTTCTCCCCATTTATGCACTCTTTCTTCTCCTCCTCCTCCTCCTACACTTAGCCCTAATTATATCATATATCCTTTTCCCATATGGAAACTGTAAAATATATATATATATATATACACACACACACACACACAAAAGTTAAATAAAGTTGGAAACCCCCTTTTGTCCCCTAAATATTCCACTTCCTTTAGTGCATACTTTCCCCTAAAAAAAAAAAGAAAAAAAACCCTAATTTGAGAAGCAAGGTGTTTTGAACTCCACTTGTACATGAAAATATGGCATTTCATTTGTTTAAGTGGATTATAATGGGTGGTGCTCATCAGCTGTTATTATAGTAAGGACTAAAGTTACCCCAAAAGGAGTAGCCGATCATGTTTTCTTCCACCAACAATCTCCACCTTTTCCCTCTTCAACACTACTTCGTCCCTTCTTCTTCTTCCTCCTCCTCTTACCACCAGGTTGTTCCTCCTCCTCCGGGGCCGGCGGTGGCGTCTCCTGCGAACAACGTGTTCGTCCCGCAAGATCTGCAAAACCCATTTGTTGGAGTGGGTGAAGAAGGAAGGATGAAGAATGAGCAAGAAGGGCAGTGTTATTCTTCTGGTGTGAACAAAAAGAGCAGAATGAAGAAAGATCGGCATAGCAAGATTTACACAGCTCAGGGTTTGAGAGACAGGAGAGTTAGATTATCCATTGAGATTTCTAGAAAGTTCTTTGATCTTCAAGACATGTTGGGTTATGACAAAGCTAGCAAAACCCTAGACTGGCTGCTCACCAACTCAAGAAAAGCCATTAAAGAGTTGACAAACAACAACAACAACAACTTGTATAACTTTGATTCTGAATTTGAGGCTCACAAATCAACATTGCCTAAATGTTCTAACAAAAATGTTGCATTCCATCATGTTTTGGCCAAGGAATCTAGGGCAAAGGCAAGAGCAAGAGCTAGGGAAAGAACAAAGGAGAAAATCATGAGTAAATCCCAACAACCTTTACCTGAGATTTTCAGCCACCAATTCCGCTCTCCTCCTCCTCCGCCTCCGCCTGCTTCGTCGTCGTCTTCTTCCATACCCGTCGTTCAAAAAGCTGCCGCGACCTCGTTGGATCAAGAAAACAACATCATAGGAATCATGTGGAAGCCATCTCCTATGATCACAAAAGGAGATATTTATTACAATAATTGCAACAATTTCTATTTTCCTTCCAATCTGCCTCCCAATTGGGACATCAATGTTGACTCTTTTGCCAGACCACAATCTGGGTTTTGCTCCATTGCCAACATGGATTCTCTCCCAGGTTTTTTTTTTTTTTTTTTTTTTTTTTTTTTTAATTTAAATTTAAATTTAATTTTTGAAGAACATATAGATCATTGTTGAGGTGCAATTTGCAGAATTTCAAGTGTGTGCGAAGCCATGGGATAGCTGCAGCAACAACCAACACCTGCACTAACACTTACATATCAATGGTGCTCTGCGGATTTAATCCCTCTTTTTATATGTAAGTTCTAGTGATTATCAGTTCAATCAGCTCTTTAATCCCATTTTTCTACATTTATTTCTAATTTCATGTTAACAAAATATATAAAATGAGTAATTAACTCGAATAAGCTAATAGAATTAATAAATAGAATTGAAAAATTAAGTGCTTAAAGTTATTTGTTTCGGGAGATCTCTTCCTCAAGTGGTTTCTTTTTACTTCTTTGTTTGTTTCGATATATTTCGGTCGTGGGTCATATCTAATAGGGAGATTGTTTAGAATTCTAAGAGGATCCTTCTATCACCCGTGAATGAAAGAGAAGACTTCGTTTTTAGTTTTAAACTTATGAAAACGAGAATCGAGGCCTTTGAATCATAAGTGTGTGTTGGACAGGGGAACTTGGGATGTGGAAAATGTTCCATGAACCTTTAGTAAAGAGCTTCAACGAATTTAATTCAATTGAAGTTCTGTGAAGAACATTCAAGAAGCCAAGGAAGTTGAAGATGATAGCAATAAACTCAAATTATGAAGCTAACCAAGCTCTAAATTCAGCTAACAGCTATTTGGACATAATGCTTTGATACTATATTTGATTTTGGATTGGTATCACCATAAATCTCAACCCTAAATAACTCAAGTTTTGTTAGGAACCACGAATCTCCACAGTGGTCCGTATGATATTGTCCAATTTGAGCATAAGCTCTAGTATCCCAATCCTTACTTATAAACCTATGATCAACCCCTTAATTAGTCGATGTAGGACTCTTCTCCCAATAATCCTTAACGAGCTTTTAGGGCACAATGACGAGAGTTTTCGATTGAAAAAAGGAAAAGGGCATGAAGCCCAACATAAAAGATGAAGAAAACTACCTATATTAAGCTTATAATATGCATATCCCTTGAAAATGAAGATGAACATGGAATGATTTGGTCATATGAAGGCATTTTTCAAGCATACATATCAATTTCTTTCGATTTAAGCCCTTTTGATCGGTTTTCTGATAAGAATGGATAGATTGTTCATATGATACTCATATAATCTAAGTATGGGTATGAAATGTTGAAATGTGCAGCCAACATGAGTGTTTGAGATCAGCTTTGGAGCAGTGAAGGCTTTGGTGCCACAAAAAAAGGATGGAAGCATTGGGAGATTGAGTTATTTTGTGATGAATTAGGACATCATCCCTATGATATCTTTATGTATTTGTTATCTCTCTTTTTTGATGTAATTAATGAAGCAAACAGATTGGAATGAAACACTAATGATTTGAATCTAATATTGTTCCAGTTGTGACCTAAGCTTGATGTGTGTCATATGAATATGATGTTTCTAAGTAGATGTTTTTTTAAAACATTTTGGAAAAGAATAAAACATACTTAGCTACTGTTAAGATAATCATTTATACAATCTAGCTTATAGTTTCATATCTCGAATATGATGCACGGTATGTAGCGTATCAGTTTCGAAATAGATACTTTTACGTTTCGGAAAAGAAAAGGAAAAACTTAGCTAATACTAAGAGAGTAAAGAATTATTCAAAGAGATTTGTATAATAATATCGATATTTCTAAGTTAACGTAAAAATGTTACTCTAAAGTAGCCGTAACAACATAAACTCACAGCTAACAGACATTGTCCTCGTTGGACTTTTCTTTCCGGGCTTCCCCTCAAGGTTTTTAAAACACGTATGTCAGGTAGAGATTTTCACACCCTTATAAAGAATATTTCGTTCCCCTCTCCACTGATGTGGGGTCTCACAATCCACCTCTTTAGGTGCCCGTCTGTCAGTAAGAGACTTTCACGCCCTTATAAAGAATGTTTTGTTCCCCTCTCCACTGATGTAGGGTCTCACAATCCACCTCTTTAGGTGCCCGTCTGTCAGTAAGAGACTTTCACGCCCTTATAAAGAATGTTTCGTTCCCCTCTCCACTGATGTAGGGTCTCACAATCCACCTCTTTAGGTGCCCGTCTGTCAGTAAGAGACTTTCACGCCCTTATAAAGAATGTTTCGTTCCCCTCTCCATTGATGTAGGGTCTCACAATCCACCTCTTTAGGTGCCCGTCTGTCAGTAAGAGACTTTCACGCCCTTATAAAGAATGTTTCGTTCCCCTCTCCACTGACGTGGGGTCTCACAATCCACCCCTTTAGGTGCTCGTCTGTTAGTAAAAGACTTTCACACCCTTATAAAAAATGTTTCGTTCCACTGTCCACTGATGTGGGGTCTCACAATCCACCCCTTTAGGTGCCAATGTCCTTACTCGCACTCGTTTCTCTCTCCAATCAATGTAGGATCTCACACTAAGTCTATGCCTATATTGTTTCTTTTGGACTACGTCGAGCCACTATTCATATTTGAACTCTAAGTAAGACCCAAAATTGGAAACTAAATTAGGTTAAAAGAATTTGGAGTTCAATATCATGTGACATTGCTCAAGCTCATATGTAATACGAGGTGTTTTTGCTTCCTATTTTTGAACATGTGACAATTTAATGCCAAATATGTTGGGTTTTTTTTCCTAGTACAACATAGATCATATAGACAAGTCAAGGTAACATATGTAGCATGTGGGTCCTATGTATTTTTAACTAGTACAACCTTGTATTTTTTTTATTTTTTAAATTTCCCTGTCTTTTTACATTATCTCATCATAAAAATTAATGTTTATTTAGTTTTTTTTTTAACTTCTACCTTCAATTTTACCCTCAATTACCAAAGGATTCCTTGTTGAGGGCTTCTCTTAATCAAATCAATAATTAAACATGATTTCAACCTCTAATTTGTTTGAGATTTTTAGCACAAATATTATTTTAATATTTCTAATTAATTATAATGACTTCAATCAATTTCTAATTATTTCATTAAAATTGAAAGTAAATCCAATCTCGAACAAACCGGTTTAAATTTATAAAAAAAAAAAAAAAAAAAAAAATTATTTTTATAACAGTTCAAGTCTACCCGTAGTAAATAAAATTTAAGAATATCCGGTTCCTAATATATGGTCAAAAGTTGGGTTATTTATTTTATTTTATTTTTTATTTTTTTGGGAAAAGAAAATATAGGAATCAGAGATAGACGTTAGTTCATAGCAACTCTAATAAAAATTGCAGGCCTAATTTATATAGGAGAGGTTAGACATAATTATAGTCACATAACATAAAACCTAGAGATACAGACAAGAGCATTTATATTTTATGTTCAACCCATTAATACTTACCTAATTAAGGACACTAATTTTTAATCATTAACCAATTATTTTTTAAAAAAATTATCTAAAAATAATTAATGGATAGAAATGGTTTCCTAATTAATGTGGATTTTTTTTTATTAAAGAAAAAAGTTCACAAGAAAAAATATGAAAATTAGAGAAAATCCTCCTCTTAGTTTTAAATTTTTAATAATAAAGACTATTTTTTAAATTTTTTTATTTCCCCATACCCAAAATACACCGGTTAAAAATTAAGTTAAATAAAAATATTTTTAAAAATTAACAAAAAAAAAAAAACGAACTCAATCTATAAAGTTTTATGTATTTGAACTCAGTTTAACCTAGACGATATAGATTAGGTTGGGTTGATCCAATTTTTCAAATAGGGAATGTTAGGAGCCTAGACGATACATTTTAAGTTGGGTTAATCCAATTTTTCAAATAGGAAATGTTAGGAATCACGGCTCTTATTGTCCACTTTGAATATAAGTTGTCATGGTTTGATTTTGTGGTTTCGGAAAGGTCTCATAGCAATGAAGATGTTATTCCTTAGTTATATACCCATGATGATTCCGTGTATTAAACAATGTGGTATTTACTCTCAACAATACTCAACAGAAAAAACGTGGTAGACGAACATATTCGTGTATAATAGAAGGGCAGAGAAGCAGGAGTGATTTATGTGAAAGAAAAGGAAAATAGTGTTACCTTGTGGTGGGTGGAAGACAGGGAGTTGTTGTTGTTGTAACCATCAAATCCCTTTTTAACATAAAAACAGAGCAAATAGTTGATAGCCATGCCATGCATGCAAGCTTCTTCTTCAACCTATAACAAACTGTAAAAGAAAAAACAAAAGAGGAACAAATTAGAGATCATCAATCACCTTTAACACAAGAAGAGAGAGAGAGAGAGAGAGAGAGAGAGAGAGAGAGAGAGCAATGGCAATGAAGTTCTTCACTTTTGCCTCATCTTCATGTTTGTGTTTGTGGGTTAAATTTAGAAGGGAAAGGGGATTGGGAGAAACAGTGGCACTGACACAAAAACTGTACACTTTTAATGCCTCCATGTATACCCCTCCATCTATACCCCTCCATCTAATATATAATACCCCTCCATCTAATATATAATACCCACACAAAAATCGTTACCCTTTTCTTCTCTCTCTCTCTCTAACTCCATTAAAAAAGGGCACAGTTTTATGAGAGAGAAAGCCATGGAAGGAGGTTTAGGGTTTAGGGTTTAGTGTAGATTTGTAGTATTGCTGTTTCACAAAAGAATCTTCTTCTTCACATCGCCATTGGCCCCTCTCTAAATCTTCATTAGGCCCTCCCTACCTCCTTTTTTTTTTTCCTTCTACTTTTCATTCATTTTTCAATTAACTTTTCTTACTTGCAAAACCTTCATTCATCAAAGGATCATATTCAATCTTCATTAATCTATTTAATTTACTATCGATTCATTTTGGCATAGATCAACTAGCTACGAGAGTTTTAAATCCTATTACCCTGCACACCTTATATAACTAATAACACAACCAAACCATTACGTTGGGTTGGGTTGGGTTGTTCGCCAACATTTTTTTTTTTTATGATCAAGAAAACTAACCAACTTGAGATTCTCGTTACAACTCAACTTTCCATACCCTAATTTAATTTGTTATGAAAATTAAGAATATTTAACAATTTTAACCGATAAAATAATTATTTTTACTTGTGAACGTTTGATATATGAGGTTTATGAGATTTTGGTTATTAATATAACGATA